ATAATTGCCTATCCATTGCATTAAAAATAAAAAATACAATTTTATTACCTGAGTAGCCTTGAAATTGAGTCTCTCATTACTTACAGTACACTTTTTTATATCCCTGAAGGCTACATGATACATTTTATGAATATTGCAAATAAACTAATTTGAACAAGACGCGGAGGGCTTTGGTCTGCAGACCTTGCTCTTTTGCGGTCGTTAGCTGCAACTACGGTATGTGGTCATTATTCTTCGGAAACTTGTTCATATATCGCATCCTAGATTTACTTCTTATTTTACCAGGCTCCTATTATTAATTGTGTCTTCTTTTGTACCTGACTATACTCGTGTGACTATACAAATATGCATCTGTACTGTACTGCTACATGAGAAAATACGATAAATAAAAAATAATCGATTATTTTATATCAAGTACAGTGGTAGCTTATTAAATACATATAAGTAAATTAAAAAAATATATTGAACATTTAGATTAAGACTATAAAATCTTGTAAAACATTATTGAAATCGTATCCCCCAGTGCCTGTTTATTATGGGCCGGTTGGTTTGTGAGGTTATTTATTATTCCTGTGAACGATAAATAACCAATAACAATAATAAGTAAAGAATGAAAGTATTATGTACATAATAAAAATGATTACATATGACGACCTCAGTGGTTTATCGGTTTAGCACACCGCTTTTCTTCTGATGGTCGCGGGTTCGATTCCTCACACGATAAAACATTTGCCTTCATAAGTATGATTATTTGTATCGGTCTGGGTGTTTCTATATAGATTATTTACATATTTACAAAAAAATATCTATGTATTGATATCAGTCTAGTGCCCATAACACAAGCTCTGCTTAGCTTAGGACTAGATGGCGCTATGTGAATTGCCCAAATTATTCTATAATGAAATACAATACAGTAAATATTTTACAATTTGTTTTGTAATCGCCGTCTCAACGTAGGTACATATGTAATTATTAAGATGTAATGTTTACAGAGCCCTTCGTATAGAGTTTCGTCCATCGTTATGTAATAAATCGCGAGTTTATTAGGCAAATCGTCATGGTTTACAAATTTAATTGTATAAAGGTAATGTTACGTTAGTTTATACAATTACGATAGGTGTATCTAAATACAAAATTCACTACATGGAATGACGACATCAAATTTATAGTAATATTATAAAGCTGAAGAATTAAACCCAAGATCTGCTAGTTGTAACTGAAAAAAGATTTTAGTGTTGGACAAATATTTATTTTATGAAGGCTATTGGACTATAGGCTGTATAGTCCTGGCCAATTGACTTTGCTTCCGCTACGTTCATAATCCTAATCATAAAATTAGTTTGATATGGGATAGTCTAATCATGATATAATATAAATAAATAGTATAATTTACCTATATCATGATATATATTACCTATACTGTTAATTATTGTCATGTCATACTATATCTGACTCAAAGTAAGACTCTCTTCATCGTAAGATGACCTGCAAAAATCGCTATTTAGCGATAAGGCTGCCAATATTTACATTGCTTTTCGTAATGATATTTATATACATGTAAGATATAAGTAGCAAATAAACTGGTACTAAATACAACTAAAACTAATATCATGTTGTTCAAAACAACTGCTAAAAATAAACAAACTCTCAGTACACACCTAAATGGAATAGCCGTAAAAGTAGTTGAAACAGTCAAGTTCTTGGGAATACATTTAGACTCACTATTTAGCTGGAAAACGGAAACAGGTGCATTAGATAATGCCATAAGCTCTGCATGTTATGCCCTTCGTTGTCTGAGAGAAGAACTTACGGAAGATCAATTACTGACAGTATATTATGCTTTGGTAGAATCTCGGTTACGATATAGTATTAAATTTTGGGGAAATAGCTACAAATACAATACAAACAGAGTATTCTTCGCACAAAAAAGAGCGATTAAAGCCATAGTTTAGATAGCCATTGCACCTTGGGAATCATGTAAATACTATTTTAAAAGACTAAAACTTCTTACAGTACCCTGTCTATATATACAGGTTTTTTCGACAGGCTTAATCAAAAACAAACATCTGTATGAATCTGAAGGGAACATGAAACAACGTTTAATAACAAGGAGAACGAATATACAGAAGGTAATAATTCTAACACTAAACGTTGTAAAACACTGCCCAAGAAATCAAGCGGTGATACTTTATAATAAGTTACCGAAGGATCTTAAATTATTGAATAATTTGAGTTGCTTTACAAAAAAATTTAAGTCACTACTAATAGATAAATGCCTGTACTCAATTAACGATTTTTGATTTGATTCTTTTTTTGTTATTAATGACATTCTGTAAAATGACAACATGTAAATTTATTAATTTTATCAACCATCGTACCAACATTCAAATACAATGTACATTGTTCATAAATAAATAATAATAATAAGTTTATGTAAATGTTTATATTTATCTCTTATAAATAGAAACATTTACATGAACTAATATGTATATAAAATCAAGAACAAAGAGTTTTTATTTCATTATGATACTGTTAGAAACTTAGAAGCTCAGCTAAATTGTTGGGATTGTTGACATAGGTCAGTTATTATGTGTCACAGTTTATTAATATTATGTGACACTAATAAATCTATTAAGGTCAAAATTACATCATAGCCATTTATGGAATCTTCTTGCAAGAAACTTTGTCATAAATTAATAAAAAATAGTTTACAACTAAAGTATATCGAGCCTAGCAATTAACGTCCTTATTTATTATATATTTTTTTATTCAATATCATTGTAATCCGTATATAAGAATTTTATGTTAGGAAAATGTGACCAAATGTTGATAATCTTATATATTTTGTTAGTCTCGCTAAAATTTAAGAATGAATGAACCGATTTAGCTAATTTTAACTTTGATATATTCATGGAAGTCCAGGAAAGGTTTAAAGGATGATAAAATATGAAGAAATTGCATGTAAAATAGTAAAAACAACAATTACATTTTCCCATACTAACTGCTGATACCTGTCAAACAGGGTGCATTCAGAAATTTATTGCGTAACTAAATTTCAAAAAGCCTTTGACATATTTAATATTGAGACGGAACGGAGTTCGTGGGGTCAGCTGTTATATACTAACAATGATACTTACTCAGTCTCGTTAATTACTGAACCCATTTCAATTAAATTTGATATATATATTAATAGATTGTTTATACAGGTAATCAATTTAACTTGATAATTATAGGATAATTTAACTAAATTATAGTACTATTAAACTCTAAGAAAGTAAAAAAAATTAGAACACTGATTACTTTTGTCTACGTTGTAATAAGTCTTTCTAAATAATAAGTTTCATTTAAAGTTCAGTTACATTAGTTAACAATAAAATGATTTATGAATCTGTACGTAGGTACTTATTAGATTCTCAAGATGAATGGTGATTAAATTGAACAGCTGGCAGAAGAGCTTTTAACAAAAAAGAATGTGTACACTATGATAGCTTTTTGCACAGCTATAATTTTCGGCTTTGACTTACTTAAAGTTCATATCGATTATAAATTATTCGAAAAAACCGCGAAAAAAATGCTTTGTAGTTTGACTTATAGAGGATCAAATATAAAAATATTTTCAGCAACTTTTAACAATTAAATAAATATTTATAACATTAACTTAATATATTATGAACTCGAAAGTTTGTGAGTATGGATGTTTGTTACTCTTTCACGCAAAAACTATTGAACGGTTTTTTATGAAACTCTACAGTAATATTGCTTATGCATCAGAATAACACATAGGCTATATTTTTTATTGAAATTTAAAGCTTGTGAAACCACGGGCACAGCTAGTATGTTAGTAATTTCTAGACTTGATCAGAATGACCAGGATTGACCGAGGTATAAAGAAGCCCCTGCTCTTTCTCTTTGAGAAAAACTAAGTATGACAAAGCAAATAAATTTACATTTGGATTTATAATATTAGTTAGAATGTCAATGAATACTTGACGGAGCCAGTAACAATACCTACTGCAATTAATCCTTCAAAAAGAAACAATTGTCTCGCACTAACTTGCCGAAAAGAGATAACACAGAACATATGTAAGGTAAGAAGAGTAGGTTAATACCACAACATGCCATCTTAATGCTCTTTTGATGCAACTGTTATACGTATATTTACAAACAAATAATTTTAGTTAGATAGTTACGTGTAAAATATTTTCCCGTATCAAATTTAAAATATCTACAGAAAGATACGTAAGAGATGATTGGGCGAAACTGTTGGCATTTTAACAATATAATCGTGTGTATTGTTTGCAACAGAACGTAGAATTAATGTTGTTTTATAAGATGCCACTTAGAATTTGTGATGATCCAATATTCGTAACTGTATACTATACGCTACTCTATATATAGGCTACATATTCAGCTTTCTAAAAAATGTACGAGACATTAAGAATTAGTTTATTACATTATAATATATACAGAATAGAATTTTATTTACATAACTTAATTGTACAACTAAGAACCTAAAATTAAAAAGCTTAAAAAATATAATAACTAAAGAATTTGTTGATATGAATCCTATTGTTATAATATTAATATTATACGTACTATAGGCAAAAATTATTTCAATTCCAGAAGATCATTTCATCGTCCATTTATAGCACTCTGGCACGCTAGCAGATCAGTAAAAGCGTATTGACTGAAAGTACAATCACGTTTTAAAGTGGTATCGATCGCACCTATTGCTGCACGTAGTAACAAAGTAATATACTGATCTATATCGACGGTCTTGTTGACATTTCAGCCCTCAGCTTGAGTACCATTAGCAATAACTATATTTTTTTCTAAACATTTTATAATGTCGTCAATATAGTAATGAAACCAAATCGAATTTATCTTTATCCAAATCTATTGACAGTTCGATATATAGATCAAGCCCAGAAGAACTTAGAAACTAAACGTAACAAAGAGTAGAAAGCCTAAATGTTATGAAGATAATTTGTATCTCTTACGATAGCTGTTTGAATCCAGCTCCTGTTCATATTGACTGGTGTACTTTTTGCTCCTACCTGAAACAATAGAAACAACATAAACTAAAATTTAATTCCACAAAAAATATACATCAATCCGACCTAATTAGTATATACATATTTGTTTAGAATAAATAAATACTAACTTGATTAGACATGATAACTATTTTTAAACCGAATGAATGTATGTAAACAATGAAAATGTTAGAAACAGAGACTATAAAAAAACGAAAGTAAAATCTTAATCTTAATAATATGATAAACGCGAAAGTTTGTGAGTATGGATGTTTGTTACTCTTTCACGCAAAAACTATAAGAACGCATTTTGATGGAACTTTACTTATACATAAGAATAACATATCGGCTATAAATTTCACACCGGAGAATCCGAGGGCACAGCTACTTATAAATAAAATTAATGCTTATAAATTATAGGAATCAACCAAATGCATACTCTAATAAAGTGTGGGATAGTGCATCGGCAACAAATAAAGTCAAAAGTCATTGAATTCGAAATTACAAAAGTAGGAATATCCAACCAGCCTTCTAAAGAGGCTAGGTGGTGTTCTACTAGGTATAAACATGACGACATCATGGCACGGTACGGAAATGGGTCAGCGCGTACTAACGATGCTCTTTTTTGCATTTTTTTGCTCGTATTTCTTATCTTGGTACCTTGCATTTAAGAAGAAACTACACTTAAATTATAATATTTTATTATCAAATGATAATTTCTACTAACTTCATAACCTTTTAATTTTTGTATTGAACGTCAATGACTTCTTTTGTAATTAATTTTTGTGAAGAATAATTAACTAACTGAAATTCAATAGCTAATAGATCTTTTCGTTTATATTTTATAGCAATACTTGCAAGTTTACTACGAAAGGTTTTGATATAAGAACGAGTTAATATGTCAGCCTCGGTGGTCTAGTGGTTTAGCCATACTGTCACTAGTCGCGGGTTCGATTCGTTACACTTGAAGAAAAAATAATTAGTAAGTATTTCTAACAGTTGTATAGTACCGATAATACAAACTAAGATAACTTAGGCTTTGTGTGAAATGTCCATGGTTATTATGATTATGTTTTTTGCCATGTTTATCAGGCATATCAATTTTGATTCGAACACTACGGTCGTGTCGTTCCTCGCAGTCTCGGTGCCGGTAATGGTGAGATTGTGAGTTCCTTAGCTGTTACAGCGCCTCTCGAGAGTTAATCTGACTCTGACAAATCGGTTTATGTTAATAAACACTTCATTTACCTGTGATATTTTTAAAGATATTATATGCAATGCAAAGTCCGATCATCAATCTTTAGAAATATCTTCGGATATAATATTAAGTTTGTTCTACATTTTTATTTAAATTATTTACTCACAAATTTTAGATCAACTGAGTTTTAATAACTAATATACCGTAGAAAGCTTAGAATAAGTATTTTGTGAAGGGAAAGAAACAATGAATATAAGATTGAATCGATTGCATCCATAAATAGAAAGAATTATTTATTGACGTGCGAATACTGAATAAAATCAATACACTGACCCTTGTAGTAGGCGGTTTCTTCGTAATCCGATCTATATTCTTGGTGGGATGGGATACTTCGATATAAGATTTAGGAGATAGTGAAATACAATTAGAAAGTCTCCACTAAATGAAATTAATAAATACTTTTTTCACCACAATCAATCCCAACAGACTTTTCGTGTAAGTGTGTACCTCTATCCACCTATTTTAACCGCTAATCAGCTTGCTTTGTATGTGTTATGGTTCAAGCGTGAAAATACAGGATAAGAGTCTTGACATCTTAATTCTTTGGAATGGCTAAGCATAAGCGGTATCGCGAAACTCATATGATAACTGTTAACGTATATATTTCTATAAAAAAGCAATTCCGACGTCAATATCTCACTAAAAGTAAATAGTAGTTAATAATATGAGTTGATTACGGTAGACTGTATATGTGAGTAATCTGTACTCGTTAAATACCTAACGTTGTCATTAGTAATGATAAATAGTTACATACAAAACATTACACCGGTTGTTGACATTAGAAAGTGTTTGTCTCAAGTTTCACCAGACATTCGTTTACGTCTAAATGTATTAAAATATATTTAATATTGCAATATTTTGCGAATACATACATAGGCATTCTGTTTTATTGATATAAAAAATTAAATACATAGTAAAAGCTTTAGTATTTTTTCATTTGCGAATATGTAATTACAAATATTTTATTCGGGTAGCTGTTTAATTTAAGATACTAGACCTCAATTTTGGAACTACAAATCCTAATTTGCAGGGTATTGTAACTACGGTTCAAAAAACCATACGAGCCCAATAACCAGTAAGTTAAGCAGCGAATGTGATAAAATATAATATTAATTAATAATTATGAACATTATTCATAATTATTAGTTAATATTTTTGTAAGTATACTGTTTGTCCAGCAGTGGACGTCTTACAGGCTGACATGATGATGATTGTTAATTATGATGAGTGATTATGACGCATAAAAACATAATTTTGTTCCAGTCCATTGAGTATTTTGGGGGCGCGTGTAATTGCGATTATAAACTTATTTTTCTCAGCAGCTCTTAAAGTTATCGTTTGAATAATAATAAAAAAATAGATACAACGAAAAAAATAAATATACAATGTAAATAAACTGGGTTTTTAAAATAAACTTCAGTTGACTTGCTGTTCTTCTCAACTAAACTGGATGGTAGGGAAAAAAGTATTAATAAAAAACTTGACGTTCAGAAGCGGCTAAAATATCTTACATGAATGATTTTCGATTTGGTTTGATCTGATTTCCAATTTTCTACTTATTCCCGTATCCATCTTGAATGATTAATATGAAGTTAATATGAAGCTTGCTAGCAGTTATTATTGCTGCTACTCAAATTTACATACATAATTTTCTCCCTGGACCCTACACCAGTTCTGATCTACAGTTGGGTATGTTGTATGCAGAAAGCTTCGACTTACGGTCGTGTTGTTGGGAGACACTGATCAGAGCCTGCATCGGGTTTAGCTGAACGATATTGTTTCCATACCACTGACTCACTCCGACTGAACAACGCCAGATACCATAGTCGTCTGCATTGGGAATCTCTATGGTCATACCACAATGTTTCGCGTTGAAACCATCGCCATAGTAACTGATAAAGGTGAATAAATTTATTGTTTTTTTATACCAGCTTACCACCAAAACATGTTTAATAGAATACTTATTACCTGTGTGTGTACCTTACGTACCTATTATGACCCTTATACAGACTTCAAACACGTTGTAATGTCGACTGTCTCTTGTATGTCTACATTTGTTGTCGTCGCCAATTATGAGTACATTTTTAGATCATTCGTCATTTCAAATCGTTTTACATAGTATTGCTTACATTATTAAACACTACAGTATATAACTAATATTTTTTTTAAAATTTGACTTTTATAATAATTAATTCTTTAAATTATTTTGAACTACGTACCTGTGAGTGCCGTCACTGAAACCATCCTCAATGTTATAACCGGACGATGAGCCAGTCTTTTGAAAGCGACAGAAGGTAATGTTTTTCAATGAGTTGAGAATATTGCAATACAGGTGTAGTTTGTCCGTGATCGTGTCGTGGACATAGCCGACGTCTAAACGCTCCGCTAAAATATAATATTCAGTATAAAAATAATAATAACCCTGGACAACACACAGTGCCGTCTAGTCCCAAGACAAGTAGACCTCGTGTTATGGACACTTATGGGTTTACTCAAATATTTTTTTGTAAATAATTTTATATTATACACTAATACAAATACTCATACTCATGGATACAAATTTTTGGAATCGAACTTACAACCATCGGAACTAAGATGCTAATACGCTACATCCTCGGTGATGTAGTATATGTGGTGTGATATAGGTGTTATATATACATACATACATGTATATATATTAATAATAAAAATATGAGTGTATGAATTTCCGAAAAGTATTCTATTAGGTAATATTTATTAATTTAGATAAATAAAAAACATATCTACTTAAATAATAACATGTTTAACTTTTTCGATTGTCACACTTTTTCAAATAAATGTATGAATAAGTGTTTTTAGTGTGATTTCCCAGTGAAGTGAAGTTAGAGTGGTTTCCTATTCCGACTTAGACGGTATAGGTCGTGAGTTCAAAACTAGCCGATAAATCTATTTTGTTTCCGGTGATGGAAACAAACTGGGCATGTCAAGTGTTGTACTTTGATGACATTTACTGAATGACAATCGTGATGGAATATTATTTTCAACATAATCAAAACATCCCATTATTTATGTAAAATGTTCTTAATCTTCTTTTTTTCGGATTTTATATGACGTTAACGAATAATTTGCATAGTGTTCTCAATCTGTCTAAAGGGTAAGGAGCACGAGGATAATAAAGATACTTAAGCACCTACTTGTATCGATAGTAATTTAAGGTATTTATGTAAATTAGATGAGACTATAACCGCCGCTGAACTTTTCAAGGTGAAGTATAGAATGTCAAACAAAGAAACAAGCGACAGGAAACCGGACTACACCTATTACTGATTCCGACAAAGCGTTATTAAAATAAAATAAAAACAAAATACGTCCCCGTCCTCCTTTGAAAGTGTAGTGAATTCTATTCTAGTTTTTTTATAGTTGTCTTTATTGATTAGTATTAATTTGGACACAAATATTTTTGGAAGAATCAGAAAATTCGCCTTGCAAATGTTTAGTAGGTATCTGAGACATATATATGTTTAAAATTCGAATTTATGATCAGTTTATGACTCATCGTACCTGGTTAAATATGTTTTTTTTCAACGTAGAGCCAGGATGTTTACAACAGATAGTACTATATTATTCCTTAGGAGCAAAGAGATACTCAAAGGCGGTCGAGTATTTTTTAAGTAAACTTACGTACTATGTAACAATTACAAGGAGGGGTGGTAAAAGTTGTAAACCTATTGCTAACAATGAAGTACGTTAGGTTAACCTCCACGTGGTCCCCCCCTGAAAACCATTGTGGTTAATATTTGGAAAATGTGTTATTCTGGACTAAATGATCTCACTTAATCCTACGTTCTCTACGTACCATCCTCCACAGGTGCCCTACAAATAGAAGCCGTTCGCGCAAGAGTGAAATGAATAATAGTAATAAATTTAAACTTGAAAGAAAAGTTATAAAAACATATGGTTTCAAATTATGTTCACATTGTCACAAAATACATACGAATGTTTACGAGAGGTTGACATCAAACATTAGAGAATGAACTTGTGGTTTTACTGCAATATATTTACTCGTTAACCGCAGCGATTACATTAGCATTTGTCGTACTCATTTTTGCTCAACGAGAGTTTAATTATTTAGCGAAGGAAGCAAACAGATTTCATCTCTGAGGAAACTTTGTCGATGTTGGTTAACTCTGTTGACCAGATTGCTCAATATGTCGCGTATGTCTGACCTAACATTATTTTCACCCGTATATTTTATGTTTGGTCACAAATATTTGCTCGGCATAATATTAGACTTGCGAAATTATAGACTCCTCACACAAAGGCGATTGTCCAATTTTTTGTTAAATACCTATTTTGTTCCTCAAATTTTTAACTGTAAGGTACCTTTTATTTCCTTTTCCTAGAAGAATTTTTATAAGTTAGTAATTTTGTCATATACCTGTAGTCAGGCAAAACAAACGAATTTATATAAATAGATAAATTTTTAAATTAATAATTGTCGTGGTCATTAATAATTGAAATAGATACGTACACCGAAAAAACTTGTACTAAACATATTTATAACACAAAAAACCTCCTTTTGGGTTGGGTCCTTGCAAAATTAGTATGGAATGAAATTTTCTTCAAAATACATTCGTATACAGATCCTTATTTTTGAAGTTGGTTAAAAGCACTTGTGTCTGAGAATTGATGTAATTTCTCAGACTCTCAATTTTCACAGATTAGGCGTTGTTTTATTATTGTTTATAATTAATACAGAGTTACGTGAAAAAAAATAGTCTAAAATTGATTAAAAACTTGTCTCTTACCTATATGAATGATAGAAATAATAATAATATTTTCTGCATACCAGTCAATGAGTTAGCTTACTTGAATAGTAATATGTGAAAAAATGTTTCAACATTTCCACGAGTGTATCATTTTCCATTATTTTATGGGTTTTGTAGTCTTGTTACATGTTTTACCATCGCCGGTAAAACATTATGCATCATACGAAATGTGTTTCATCGTGTAAATATTTCTTTTATATACCTACTTAGAATGAGAAAGAAGCTGACGGCCTATCTAATGGTAAGTGGCAACCGTCGCCTATATAAAGGAAAACGTTTATCACGTTGTCATAATGATTACGGCAACATCCATGACTACGATGGCTTGTCTCTGTATCCTGTGATTAAACTGAAACACATATACAAAACACGCCGCTTGGCCGCTGCAATAAGAAAGCCGAAGGTAGACATAGCTTACGTCAAATTAAATGAAGTATACATGCCTTCAGAGTATATTGAATTGATCTGTTCACTTTCAACAGTTTGCAAGCTGTCATCTTCGGAGTATTCTTGTGGTTCTTGATAATTTTCACTTTGGTTCGATTGTCTGAGGTTTCTTTCCTCTGGTTTCATTATTGGCAGGATCTCTTGTATTGAGGGCGTCTTTACGTGGCCCTTTGACAGTCCCAGTTTCTTTTGGATGAAAGCCTCCAGAATTTGCTTCGTGATCTTGTTCTGCCTCGCCAGTTCGTGGAGGTCTGCGAAGAAAGGAGAAGACAGATAAAAATGACTGTGCGACAAACAAGAAAGCGGTGCAAGAAAGAAAGGAACGCTTATAACTCGACGTCATTTTTATCTGGTTCTCTTTTCTTCAAAGGAAGAATCGAAATTCTTTAGGTACGATTTCCGATGTGATGCAGAACTAATACAAAAAAATCTTGAAGGCATCTCAAAAAAGAAACGTTTTGTGTAGTATAGTGTTACACGTTTCTATTAGGCCATGCTGTAGTTTCTACGACTCTATATAACTTTTTTTTTATTTAAATCTGTCATGACAATTACAACAAAAATACATGGAATTAAATTATTGAGATTTTAGTATCGTTCTATTTTTCAGAAAGGTGGAAGTTTTTACTTCGACGGCAGTTGTTTTAATGCCTGTTATTATATCAATAAAACAACAGTATTGAAATATTCTTAGTAATGCGAATGAAATTCATGTTTTTGGGTTGAACAGTATTATTATTATCTTTAAATGACCACGCTACAGCAAATAGATTTAGTTTCGAAATTGTCTAAATGATAGATATCGAAGATGATATCGCTTGAAACAATAACGTAGCTTGTAATAATAATGCAATCTAATAGATGCTATGCAACAAGATGACGTGACAGTCTATTTCAGTACATACCAACATGATCAATTCGTCGATAGTGTCAGTTAGTGGAGCATCATTTGGATCCCTTCCTACCTCACATTGTTAACGAATGTCCATTAAGCAAACAATAGAAGTATTTCGTACTGATTGTACCATTTGTGAATGTACGGAAGCTCGAATAATTAAAGGGCTGAGCTGGTATAAGGATATGTCGAGATTTGGCATTCACGTGCACCTTGCATTGTGAGAATATCCGTAGGTATATTTTCACAAGTTGTTTTTATTTACGACTTAATCTACGATGATCATTCCCTTAATATATGTTTTTTTTATACAACATCTTTATTAAGAAGTTCTTTATGCATAATAATAATTAAAGTTATCGAGTTCCAAACATACGAAATATTTATTCTTGATTAACATAAGAATTGATCTTTTACTGAAGACAACATTTAATTAGATCCCACAGATATCGTATATTTATAAAGCACTGTATCTATAAATATCTAAAATTATTATATAAAGTAATGTGTAGGTATATACTAAGAAATATAAGCCTGCCCAACTAAGTACGGACGATCGAAATTAGAAGCAATCTGCATTTATAATTTATGTTTGTAACGAATAAACTACTGGGCCGAGTTTTAATTTTCTTTATAAAGTTGTTGTATATATAACAAAGTAAGTGAAAAGATATTGCACGGATTTAACTATATAATAAAATATGATATGTCAGCTCTATAACTATGTATCCGTAATAAATTGATGTATTGTAATATATGCGTATGATTTATACCATGAACATAAATTAAATTGTAGTCAATTACAAAAAAGGAGAAGGTAATTTAAATTCAACTTTTTGTAAAAACTTTATGCGTATTAATTTTTAAATACAAGTCTTCTTGAATATGATACTTGTTCGACGAGTCAACGAAAAATTTTTTGTACGAATATTCATGGATATATATATATAGTTTCTGATCTTTTTTTTTTTATTGAATATCGAATACTTTATTCTTCCGGAACAGAAAATATAAAAGCTAGTAGGTGTACCATTAATTATACATTTTTGGCGATAAACCCATCCAATAAATTCATCACTTATCATCAGATATTGGTATACATTAAAACAACATAGCGTCTCACCAGAGACGCTATGTTGTTTTAATATAATAATATTAGATTTTTTTAAATTATATATATAAGTCACAATATCTAGTAATTTTTGTAAACTAAAGTAAACTCAAATAATCAATAATATCAGGATTCAATTACGCAAATATGGCGGTTGGTGACAGAAATATAAATTTTATCACACGAACAATTTTAATTCAGTAAAATAATTTATATCTACAATTTCAAACAATAATAATTATATAAAGAAATTATATTTCAGGCACATGTTAAGAACTTACTACAGTATCTGGTGTTATTATTCGAGTACAACTCCAATTAATATTTCTACACATATACCTACACGAAATATGTGTAAGCATTATTAATGGTCTATTGTTGTTGACAACAATTTGTCTGCCACCCACTTACTAATTTTAAAGCATTTGTGCAAGCAGCCAGTAGAAACATTAGTAGAGCAAATATTAGAATAGTAGCTACTGTTTTGAGTTTTAAAGGTCATATTATAGAGATAAAGTTGACTGATTATGTTCCCTTTTAAGAAGGGTAGTGTCTTGGACAAATATTTTTATACGAAGTCGTTTATAGAATAGTAGAAAACTACGAGTATACGTTTACAGGGTACAACTGTATAAGTACGTAAATATGTAAGTATATAAGTACATAATATTTATATTGTTTATTCTATAAATCGAATCAGAATTTTATGATTCATGCATTACAAGCGCTTATCAAGTCAAGTTAATTGGAATATAGTAAGAGAAAAACTGCTTTGCTTTAAAATTAAATTGGACGTAATTACAACAATACAAATGAATGCTTTAATTTAGAGGAACTATCATCAGCATAATCACCTCAGTGGGTGGTAATTGGGAGAAATGATCGTATTACATAAATACACCGAATACAAAAATACGGTGAAATTAAGAAAGTATCTTCTCTTCAATTTTCATGTTATAAGATAAGATCAATTGTTATTTTAAAAACATTGTTTTTGAAATAAAAGTATGATATACTGTTATTATCGTTATATTAGTTATTACGTACGAATTTTTATCAATATTTAGTTAACTTGTATTGTAATACAGTTTTTATTTCTCAAGAGTCCATAGGCTACTGTAGCCGTTTATCATCAGGGGAGTCGTATGCTTGTATGCCACCATCGTATATATAAAAATATACAGGTAGTTAAGTGCTTATAACTATATAATTATAACTATTTTTCTGCAACTTGTTCTTAAAAACTATTAGAAAACACGAAACCATGACCTTTCAGACTTACGCAAGTGATAAAAAAGCGACGAAGTTACATAAAGGCGTATTGTACTATTTTACAACGTATCGATTTTAATAGAAATAGTAAAAAGCTACTGGTGGCCGTCGTGATACAATTTCTTTTGACGCCATGTTCCAAACTACAAATGAAGTTGAATGGGTTGCTGTTTCGTTACACCTGGCATTCATAATTCACTGTGAATTGGACGTTGCACTACTGCATTTAACACAAAATAGTTTTTTTGTGTTATACAACGATATACATATATGTATAAAGTATTTAGAGTATTCAAATATGTTTTATGAATTCCACATGTACGTGTTAGATGATTATTGCATATCATATGTCGCAAGACATTTTTTGTTTAAACGCAGTGACTAGGATAAGTGATTACATATTATAAATATGAATTTGAATGATGGTTACCGGGTTATAGGAACGAAGTTTCAAAAGATACAAAAAACCGTGATGTTAAGGCCAGTCGATGTCACTAAAGAAAAAGAGAATTGACCCATTCTTCGTCCAAAAGCTTAACAGCGAGATAAAGCAGCCGATATCTTTGAGGTTGATTTTGGCGCGTGAATCTCTTAAAACAGATTTTTAAACTAGGTACATTATTTTTTTATTTACAGGTAGAATGATGCATTAGTCTTCAAGAATGCCAACTTATGAGCATCGCATCTGTAAGATGTTCATGATACGAATCGTTTGACCTTTCGGTTATATTTATTTCCCTTCTGATATTCGTTGGTGTGAAGGTGTGAAGTAGATAAACTGATATGTTTAAACTTAATTACCGTATTGTAATGTAATATTTTTAAACACAATTTATATTTACGTTCGTGACTACCGACGATAAACCTGATGGCGCACCCACTTCGTTACATTAATACGAATTTTCGTCGACCGGTAATTATGCTTGTTGTCGATTCCACTAATTTGTTTCATATACTCACTCACCCTTATTATTTGCATCAAATCGTATACTTAAATGTTTCGATCTGCATTTAAATTACTTAATAATGTAATAGCTCTTTTTTTAATGATGATGGAACACGAAGAAACCTATTTGGCTGTATTAGAGGTTAGTAAATATTTGTACTCATATTTAGATCTCAAATAAAATGAATCATCGAGGCCGATTCTTAAGTGATGTTATAAAAAAGATTCGAAATCGTGGATATCAAACATTAAAATTATTAATTAAGTTATTGAGATTATTTCAACGCTGCCTTTCAATTACGGTACTCATGCTACCACTTACTGGGGCTACTACCGCGCCTGCACTATTAGTCAGCGTACACCTGGTTTTAGGTCAAGTGCACTAGCAAGTCAATCGTGCTATTGTCTACTAATGTAGCTCGAAATCATTGATGTGCCGGAACAATCGATTGCTCCTATTCGAATATGACTTATAACACGATATAAACTCACGTTTGGTTATATAATATGGTCTATTTTGATTCGACAATATTGCTATAATTTAGACGATACGAGTATAAAATCATCGATAGAATATCATACAATTATATAAACACAAGTTTATAAATTATTTATCTTATTTTAGTAATTTACCTTTATTAGTGAGATAAAATTACATGGTCATCATTATTCATAAAAGTTGTTTTATTGTCTTTGGTGGTAATTCATTTAAAAATCGATCATAAATGAAATAAAAGTATAACTGTTACATATGTAATTATATAAAATAATAAATTTGTCACATCGATATGAACCCTCAGTAATACCTTAAGTACTTACTAATATTAAATTTGTATTAGAAAAATTTGCGTGTGTTTAAGAAAATGGGACAGCATTTAATTCTTCCCTCGTTTTTAATCATATAATCGAATAGAAAGTATTCTAAGTATTCTTAGTAATATTAAATCATCACAGTCAATGCATGTTATATCACATTATCTAACTATACAACGTGGATTGCCTCTAATAACATCGTGCAAGGTTTGAT